AAGGATTTCCTTACCTGTGGGGGATCAATTTTAGATGTGCAGGAGAAGTTTTTCCCCACCTGAAGCCAGCACTCCCAGCTGGAATATGCACAAGATTCCCAGTAAACCTGGTGCTGGATGACTCTGTAGAGACCACAACAACCTCCAGAAGTCCTAAATATTAATTCTTGAAATCCAAGGAAGTGTCAGTGTCATAACCTGACATTTCCTCTGGGACTTCCACTTTGTCATCAGTGGATCCTGCCATTTCCATGAAGAGCAACTTTACAATCCACAGGGCATAAATATCACTGCATGCCTCTGTGGAGCTTACCAATGCAAAAGCCATCTGCTTCGTTGAAGGTACTGCATGTAAAGGCTTTCATACAGATATCCAAAATAGGACATTAATAAAGCAGTTGCATAAGTCTAAATACTACTACTACTCTGACTCATTAAAAGCAGCCTTCTGCACTATTCCTTAGTAAGATCTAAAGCACAAAACATATCTGAAAGTTTTAGAGTGAGGTTTTGTAATCAAGCTGATACAAAAAACATTAGCCTTCCCAAAAAGGGAACGCACAACCACTGCTAAGTCCCATCCCCAAACCTGCCAGACCTTCACAGCTTGCCTTTGTTTCTCCCCTCTTGTACACAATTGCCTCTCCATCACTAATGTCATATGCCTCCCATTTCTCCTCTTTTCCTACCAATACCTCCATCCATTTCCCATGCCCCTCACACTTGTGGGTTCTTTCCATTTGGCACTAACCCGGGATGCCTTTCTTTGCCTTGCCAGCATGAGACGTGTTAAGTACTAATTGCCCGGCTGTTGGTGCTGTACCCTTACCGTCTGTTCTGCTATTTATATTACAGGAGAACCTAAGTCTCAGTCAGAAGCCTGCTGCACCAAGGAGGAAACACGGGGCAAGTTTATTAACACCGTTAGGATTGGAAATCCTAATATATGACCAGAGCAGTGGAGGGAAGGGATGGCCTACAGGTTAGGAGCTAACCCAGGACACAGCAGACTTAAGTTTAATTCCTGACTCGGATAGGAAAAATTTTCAGGGAAACCTTGGGCAAGTCGCTTATTATTTCTCTGACCATCTGAGCATCACCTTGACTCAAAGAGGAACGAGGATTTAATATTACAAAGGGAGCGCAGCACTTGGAACCAACAGCAATAAGGGCCTGCAGAGTCACCGAAGATGACAGACAAGATGACACAGAAATTAAATGAATGGTGAGCAGAAGCCATAGCGTTCCAACTGCAGGATCTGAAAGCACGGAGGCTGTACGAAAAGAAGAGTCTCCCAAGGACAGGATGAAAACCCATCGCTTGGGGAATCTGCATAGGCTGACTCTAAAGCTCCCAAATTATGTACTGTAGGGAAAAATCCTGCAGTAGTGGGGAGATGAACTGGATGATTTATTAGTCTTTACTGTCTCCAATTTTGTATAATTCTATGCAATCACTTGGGATTATTGTTATGTTGTGCACCTACCACACAGGAGCGGTTTGAGGACTACTTAAATGTTTGCATAGCACTTTACATTCTCCAAGTACTAAATAAATGCCAAGCATTATTAATGAGCTGTGTGTAGAAAGATTATTTTAACTTCCCTCCCAAGAAATCAGTGCATGCATTTTAATTTTCAAATAATCTAAAGTCTCTCTGAACCCATTGGAAATGCAGAGTATGCCTTTCTCAAGGTAAGGAAGCAATGCCAAGTGACAATATGACAAAATATCTCTAGATTCCCAACACTCTTCTTCTACAAACACTTGGCTCTAATGGAAGAATCTGGTTTTCACCAATGTCCTGGTTTTTATACCCAGTTTTCCAGCTGACTTGACTGAAGTACAGCCCATTAATATCTCAGCTGCCTTGTTCGATTATACTGGCCTTTGCTGGCACCAATCTAGTTAAGGTAGCACCAGAATTTCCAGTATAAAACATTTTTACAGGTTTATAACTTGGCTCTAAAAATCCTACTGCAAGGGACCGTGGGAGGCAGGGAGGCTCAGATGAGTGTGTTATATTACGTATCCGATGCGATACAATACCTAAAGCACCTAATGGTACCTCTGAAGTCCCACGGTCAGTTTTAACTCTAAATGTCCTCGCTGAGAGATCAATACCTGGTATTTGCGTTACTGTAATCAAAGTAATGTTTGTAGGTTGTTCAGCCAATTAAGAGCTTAATTTGCCCAACTTCACAGCTTGATTTAAATCATACAGTATCTGTATGGCAAGAGGAACGGGAATAAGACATTTCCACTGATCATCTTTATATGCACATTAAAACTTTGCTTCTAGAAACCAATTTAAGATAATCCTCAAAAAAGGTCAACAACAAGAGGCCAGGATGTTGCCAACTGATGCAATTTGGAGGACAAGTTTAAATCAAGACCGGGACTTGACACAAGAATTGCAAGTATCTGGGGGTTTTTTTTCCAAGGGATAAACTCACAGGAAGCAGAGAGAAAATTGAGCTTTACAAATTACTGAAAAGCCTATTTTTGAAGCCAACCTGTCTTTCTGGTCATCCGTATTGCATTTCCTCTAGCCCACGTATGTACATAATCTAGCTCTCCACTACAGCACAGCAACATTAAATATAAAAACCTGCTATTAAAGGGCAGAGGGTAATGGCATGAGTGTGGGCGACCCATGCTCAGGTAGTGTTCAACGATTAGCTCCAATTTAAACGGGCTGAAAATATGCAAATCTAGCCAGCCCGGTTTTTAGATAAAATTGTCAGTTTTATGGATATTTATAGTATGTGTCCAGTCTTGCAGAACTCCATCTTCCTCCACCTCATTTGTAATATAAAGTGCTTTTAGGCCACATGAATACATTGTGTTACGGGGATACTTCTCACGTTGTGTGCAAGCCAGGCAGCAGATCAATACTCGGCTACACTGAGGAAAAGAATCATTACTGGAGAACCTGTTAAAAGCACAAACACTGCTCCATTCTCTTTGGGTGAATACGTAGGTGGTTCTTTTTTCTTAACAAAAGTGAGTCTGCCTCAAAAAACCCTGCTTTTAATGGACTTTTCAAACAAGGCAAGCTTTTACATGTAACCTCAAACCAAACCCATTTAACTTTCGCCTCGCTCCTACCATCTCCGCTGTTTACCAAAACTATTACTGTCTCAACAAAAGACAAGCCACCCTGCCCTGGTAAAATCATAGCGGTGCTATTCCAAATTCAACGCAATTTCCACAACAATAGGTTTGGATGTCACCAGTGCAGGCTCGCAACTTTACTGAAGTCATACAATGAGGAGAAGCAAGACTTGAGAGGTAGCTGCTTATTAGCAAACTGAATGGGAAGGATGCTGGCCATGCACACCAATTCTGCTAAATATGATGTTTTGTTCGGTTTGTGTCCCAGTGTAGATTTGTTCCCCTCCTCACCCCTATCCCTCTGTTAGTCCCTCGCTTGGGTGATATATATTTCCCTACCGGCTTTGTTATCTTTTTTGGATTCACAATCCTAAACATCTACTAATAAATGTCTCCACGTGGCCAGCTTGCATACTGAGCACAGTTACTTTGTGTGTGCCCATCAGGTATAACATGTACCCCTTCCACGTGGCTCAGAGCACAGGCACATCATTTAAGTAAAAATTAAAACAGGCTGACCTCAGGAACAACCCACACTACCCTTTCCCTATCGCCCAGCCCACCAGCAAAGGAAAAAATGGATGCAGTGCCCTGTTGGTCGACAAACCAGAGCTGTCGCACCAGACATGGACTACGGAGTTGAGATCCCTCTACTGATCTCCAGCAGATGTTTAAATCAAGAAGGCATCAGCCTCCATATCCTAGCTTCCCTTCACTCCTGCAGAGGACTAAGGAGAACGAGAGGCAGCCACACAAACAGAGCGCCTGCAATGTGTTATAAATCTACCAAGACCACCAAAAGTTGTTGTTCCCCATTCACTCTTTCAGTGCTTGGAACCATTCAGCCCCACTGAAATCAGTGGGAGTGAAGGACACTAAGCACCCTGCAGGAACAAGTCCTCAGTTATTACTCATAGAAAGACCATCAATAACTCCACTCAGACCAGTCATAAACTGATCCCAGTTTATTCCCCTCCCCGCCAGCCAACACAACGGACTTGGCTCTTTCTTCCTCCTGGGTTCGTAATGGCTCGGATCCTTTCAACACGCCACTTCATCATTTTCACAACCCTAGTTACCACGACAACAGGATGCAGCTTCTCCGTGTGCTTCCATGTTTCCATTGCCATAACAACACAGTCATTCTGGCTTCCCACAAAAACAGCAACTTTTAGCTCTGTTGACACTGGGTTCTCCCATGAAGAGGTCTGTGCCAGGAAGACCTCTATACATGCAATCTGTAAATTAGGAAGATGCTTTTTGGAGGGGAATTTTTCACTCGCGGAAGTGAGAGGCTGACAGCAAACGCGAGAGCTAGGCTGTTGAGACATCTAAAGATTGGCCTTTAATAATAGCCCAAGTAATATAACAATAGGCCACTTCTGAGCAGGGAGTCCCAACAGTGTCAGACTGTGTCAAACTGCACGATGGTTATGTGATGTGAGCAAATGTCCAAATGGGTTTCACCCAATCAGATCTGAATTAGGCTCTAGATGCAAGTCTCGTGTGTACTAACCTGCTGGCCTTCCCATTATTACCACCACCGTATAGCCTTATGTTTGAAGCCTCATTTTAATTCTGCAGTTGGAGCGGTTGTTGAAGACCTCCTTTCGTGATGCGAGCCCTTTCCCTTGCAGACAATTCTTACAAATCAAAGTTCAAAACAGAAGGGTGAATTCGTAAGGCTTGCGAGGAGGTGATGCACACAGAACATGCACACGTACAAAAAAAACCAAAAACACACATACATGACAATGCAGGGTATTAGCTTGCATGGCACTGCAATTGCATTGGAACTGTACATGTACTTTACTTAATGAGACAAGCACAGGTGTCTGACACAACCCCTCACAAGAGATAAGAAACAGGAACAGAGTCCAACCTGCTTTAGCCATGCTTGGTATCCAGAAGATGTAAGTTGGAATCCGTCTTTGGGCATGTGTATTCGGGGCTAGGAGAGAATAGACATAAAGAGAGACCTCCTTTTACATTTGGACCTAGCTAACCTAACCTAATTTCTGGCCGATTTTGAGCATGTTAGAGGTTTCCAGCCACATGAGCAAAGCTTCAATCCCAAAATCAACACCTGTGAGACTGCTGCTCTGCTATCAGTCGCCTTAAGGATGCGATATGCTTACAATGAAAACATTTTTCACTGTTTTACATTAGAAGCATGCTGGAACGTCTCTAATAAAAAGCCCATGTCAATGCATGAAGACCTCCGTCACTGGAGCCGTGCTGAACTAGCAGAGACCAGTCACTAGCATTTCCATCTCTGGGCAGGGTGTGATGCCTCAGTGACAAAATGCCAGCAGCCAGTTACACTACTGCTTCCACAGCTGCTACCCCCAGCGGAGCCGAACAGGCCACAGGGCAATGGTTAGAAGATTAAGATAAATGCCAGGGTAGAGACAGCCTCAGTGTACACAGAATGATGGTAAATATTAGCACTCACCTGCTTATAAATTACATTTCTGAATTGTGGACACTAACAATCCCTTCCCTGACATTCTGGGTGCAACTGCTGTTCCCCGCCCCTACTGAATGATGGTAAATATAAGAGTTTAGGGAAAGGCCAAATGTCCAATTTTTATGGGGGCATGGGACATTCCAAACGGACGAGAAAAATACGCAGAGGACAGGATAAAACGCAGCCTGTCACTAAATTAGATTGCAGTCAAGTGGACTCCAAAGCAGGAGGGGTTTAGAAATTAGATAAGTGAAATCATAGCAATGCAGGACTGGAAAGAAGTGTCTGGGCCGGTGAGTCCAGTCCCTTGTTACCAATGGCAACTACATCACATAATCCTGTTCATACATTTATCAATCTCTATTTTAAAGCTGGAGAAGTCATGCCTCCACTCCTCCTCCTGGGAGGCTGTTCCAGGGCCTTACTCTTCCAATGGTCAGAAACATCCACCTAATTTCCAGCCTAATTAGGACAGTATGTTCCCCTTTGTTTTGGGACCAACATTATCTCTGAGCTTAAATAGTTTCTAACTTGGTAACGTAATATTAGAGAAAGAAGATGGGTGGAGCAGAAGACCAGGCTGCACTGAGGAGACTATGGCCAAAATGGTAATTAATCCTTGATGGTTTTCCAAACCCCAAGGTGTAGAACATGCCCAGCTCCAGTCCCGCACCTGAACTCAAGCCCAAAGACCAGGATCATAGAAATGCAGGGTTGAGAGGGCGTTCAGGAGGTCAAGTCCACCCTGATCAAGATAGGATCATCCCTGTCTAAACCATCCCAGAGAAGTGTTTGTCTCACCTGCTCTTAAAGGCTTCCAAGGATGAAGATGCATTAAGCATTTTGACAAGACATTTATTAACACTGGGTCCCTTCTGTTGGCTTCAGTGGAAATTAAAATCCTCAAACACCTTTCAAAAGCAGTAGGTCAGCTTACCCTGTGGGCCAACAACCCCATCACACGCAAGTTCCAATAAGCAAGATGGTGCTCAGGAGATATGGCCACGGGGACATGGCTACCATATCTGTCTATAAAGCTTCTCCATCAGCCATGTGCTTAATGTGCTAGATCACGTTTCAGTAAAGGCATCGCATACCTGGGATGAAATGGCTCCCAAATCCTAATCTCAGCTCAGCCTCAAACAGAGGGGTGGGCAATTATTTGGGCCCATGGGCCACACGGGGAGTTGTTGCAGGCTGGGTCAGCACCCCTTCCCTCCCCCCATGCAACAACTCACCAAACCTCTCTGTGTGGGATGGGGCCATGGGTGGTCAGGGAGCTGGCATGAGCATGCTGGTGTGGGTGCCAGGGCTGCCCTGCAGCTCCTCACTTCCACCCCACTAGATGCAGGGACCCGGGGCAGCCCGGATGTGGCGCTGGTGGACGAAGCAGTGGCAGAGAGGAGCCGCAAGTCAGCCCTGGCATGGGCTCCGGGTCCTGCTTTTCCCCCACCACTGCTGGGTAGGCCTGACCCCCAGGCTGAGTGAACAGCCCCAGCCCTGGGCTGCCCCACACGAGGGGTCAGGGTCTCTGCAGTGCTCGCTTCGGACCTGCCTGCCCCAACCAGGATGAGCGGTCGTGCGAAAAAGTGGGACCGGAGCCCGCGCCGGGGCTGCCACCACAACTCATCATGGCTGGGATGGGCATGGCTGAAGCGGGTGCTGCAGAGACCCCAGCCCCCAGCATGGGCGGGG